ATAGCATTAAAATCATAAATAATCACAGAACATTAAAATGAAAGATAAAAATATAAAATCCCTCAGTTGTAGCACAGCTAAACAGCACCTTTTTTAACTTGGTTTTAAACATTGTCAGAGAGGAGGCCTGTCTCACATCTTCAGGAAGACTGTTCCAGATTTTAGCAGCATGAATCTGAAAAGCAGCCTCCCCATGTTTAGTTCTGACTCTGGGCACTAACAGGAGTCCAGTCCCTGTGCTCCTCAGAGTCCGGGCTGGTTCATATGGGACTAACATGTCACTAATATGCCATTACAATACAGGTGGCCTGAGAGAGGCTTTTTAGTACTGAGATACATTTGACAGTTTTGGAGTTTGTTCTTATCAGCCTTTACTTTATCATAATAAGAACACATTTGCATGATGGAAAGATACACTGAAAACTTATCAGACTGGCGCCTGGAGTGACGAGGGCTGTAATTGCTGCTTGCGGCTTTAAGTTCTATTGATGTTATTTGTATCCCTGCAAGGCTGGTTGATATTTATAAAACCCATTTTGTGATGACTGTTCTCTGTAACTCACTCCTAAATGGAGAGAGTTACAGAATCATTTGAAGCGGTTCCTTTCACTCACTGCTTGGATCTAACTTCTGAGTGTTTTGGAGAAATGTGACATTTTCAAATGTGGCACAGGTCTGTGTAATGTCTTATTGAAGAGGTATGAATCTAGTAGAAAAAGTATAATTCTTCATCTTACCTCACCCTCAAACTACACAAAAAATCGACCAGAAAAATACTCTTCCAAACTGTCCAACTGTATCGTGCTGAAACATGTGTCTTTGTTCTGCTCATAGAAAAGCCGTTCTGTCTGTCGTGATGCAAAGTTATTTCTACTCATTCATCAAACACCTCCAGAAAAGTCAACTCATAAATTGCCAATCCTGTGCACCTTAAAGCACCAAATCCATCATGTGTTTCGAGGCTTAAAATGAACGGTTCCAGACGGACACCGGAAGTAACAGACTGATCAGAATACATAACAAGGAACGAAGGATAAACTTTGGCTTCGCTGCTGGAAGTTTCCTCAAGTCAAAGGTTAGCATAACAAGGAACCGCGGGGTGTGATAATATACTTATTCTATGTATTTGTTAATTTAGGACCGTGCATATTATTGAATTCATTTCTTTTTCAGTTATTTGTGTATTCCAACCATAGACTGTATATATTAATGGACAGAGTCACGCCTATCTCTGCCGTTCTAACTAATGGGCCAAAAAATGTGCTCTACTGGAGCAATCCAAGATGGCCGCGAGTGGTCCCGCCCACAAGAAAATTGTGAAAAAACGCATCAGCGCATGAGTCAGCCGGCGCAACTCCATTCATTTGAACGAGAGACTTCAAAAATTCACAGCAAGTAAACTAGAGTGGACCAAAAACATCCACCCCCCCACCCCCACAGGCCCGGGGTGGTATTGCAGCATGTCAGCGCACGTCATTTTGGCCACTTTTGAGCTGGGACCCTCCCCCACTGATTCCAACCAGCATTAACATGGTTTGACGACAGAATAAAGAAATCAATGTGTCTGAAAACAGCGTCAACATTAATATGCTGGAATTAGCGCAGAAGCTAAAATGCATCCATTGTCCTGACGATGGGTTAATGATGTTGGAAATACTACAAAAAGTGTTCATTAATCACTAAATATAATTGTTGAGCTGGTAAATATGAAAAAGCAGATAAATAACAAATACAATGGATGTCCAGAGACCATAAACAAACCAAGACTCTATGGACTCAAAAAACGTCCCTAGAGAAGTCTGGATATATAAAGTGCACCCAAACTACAGAAAACAATAAAAACACTACTATAATGTATTCAATCAATCAATCAATCAAATTTTATTTATAAAGCGCTTTTCATACAAAAAGTGTAACACAAAGTGTTTTACAGTTTAGTTAAAAACAATCCAACATGCCCAGCCCTAAACCCTCCTCCCCACAGACCCCCCAAAACCACATTTATAATTATATATACAACCACATGCGTATACACACACACACATATACACCCCCCCCCACACACACACACACACACACACACATACACAAGTATAAAGTCATATCAGGTAAAATAGGTAAAACAATAAAAAGAAATGGGGCTGGGAGCAGATGTAACCGGCTGAAGACGCGTCATCCAAGGAGCCATCTGCACCAGGAGCAGAGAGCCGGCTGCAGCCACAGGCAACGACACAGGACCCAGAGGAGAGAGGGGCCCCAGACCCCACCAGGCCCAGGACTCAGACCCCATAGGACCCAGAGGAGCGAGGAGGCCCCAGACCCCCACCGGATCCAAGAGCCAGTCCCCCGAAGCCACAGCAGACCCCAGCCCTCAGTGCAGAGGGCTCCTCCAGAGGAAACACTGGGGACACTAAAACAATACAATAATGCAATAGAAAGTAGAACAATAAAATGTGAAAATAAAAAGAAAAATGGCAGCTGCCTAATATTGATAATAACAATAGTAAATGGGTAGATACAATAAATAATTAAAAATAGTAAATAATAAAATTAAATAAAAATATAATCCGTCTAAAAACATAAATAGATGTACTAAAAAGCAATAATAGATAATAAATACTAATCAAAAGCTGCTCTAAAAAGGTGCCTCTTGAGCCTACTCTTAAAAATATGAACGTTCTCTGCGGCCCTGAGCTCCTCCGGCAGACTGTTCCAGAGACGGGGGCCGTAGTGCTGGAAAGATGCCTCACCGTGAGTGTGTGTCCTGACTTTGGGGATGGTTAGAAGTCTGCTGCCGGAGGAGCGCAGGGGCGACAGCGGCTCAGTTGGTAGAGTATTGGCCATTGGGCCTGAAGGTTGTGGGTTCAATCCCCCACAAGACCTTCTCCTACTGCTCTCACTGGTGTCTGCTATCGTTGTGTCCTTGGGCAAGACACTTAACCCCACTTTGCCCGCAGCCCTCTGTGAAAAAGGTGTTGGTTATAGATTTGTTGTTGACTAAACTCTTGTCTATTCAGCTGTTATGGTCCCAGCTGGATTCGTCTGCATATCTGGCAACCTGAGTCAGGGAGAGTGGGAGAGGCTGCAGTACCACTTGGATGATCCTCTTCTGGACCATCCAAATGGTCTCTATCAGACTTCAGACCTGGACCGGGACTGGCTTAAGAGAGAACACGTCTGACACTGCAGGATGACACTGCAGTGTGTTACTGATGGTACCTTTGTTACTTTGGTCTCAGCTCTCTGCTGGTTACTCACGTGTTCTGGTATTTTTGCTCACTCTTCTTGTGATCATTTTGACCCCCCCAGGGTGAGATCTTGCGTGGAGCGACCGGTTGAGGGACATTATTAGTGGTCGTGTATGTTTTACATTTTGTAATTATTGCTCCCAGAGTGGATGTCTTCACACCTACTGTAGAAGCAGCTTTTCCAGCCTGGTGCTGGTCTACAACTTCTATCTGTTGTCCTTTGACAACTCTTTTGTCTGTTTGAGGTTATTGACAGGTGTTTGTTATATGGATGGAGTTCAAAGAAGTTCCATTAATACAGAAAACAAGTGAAGGACGGAGGAAAAAATAAGTTACAGGTTTGTGAGAGCCAGTGCTTGTTTGTAGATGACTTAATACTTATTTTTGTTAAGAATATTTTATAATATAAATTCAAATGCCTGCGTTTACAGGGATGGTATTGTGGGCCTGCACAAGGAGAAAAAAAAACTGTTTTGTGAATTCCTGGACCAAAGAGATGTTGGAGGTCAGTGTAGTTTCTCCCATGAATACAAAGTATAAAGCACATTAGTGACTGGTATAACACTCGACTGCTGCAGAAAGGACCAACTCTACATTTTAAAATACCACAATATTCTGGATACTTTGTCTTCCATAGTTGAGGTATAGCTCATCTCTCTCATCGTTTTTAAGTGGGAGGACTTGCACATCTGGTGGCGGACTAAGTACTTTTGCCCCACTGTATGTCACATTAAAACACCATAGTACCATGGGTTTTTGTTCATACCCATCTCTCCAATGGACGCTCAGGGTAAAGTGATCACCGGCAATTGGCTAAAAGGAAGTTAGGATTTGGACAAAATATGTGTAATGGTCAGAGAACGACTGAATGCATTTTGAAGGTGATTTACAGGTGGATGTAGGATTTGGAATAAGAACTGTGCCTCTAGATTCTTTCATGCAGATTTGTCAAATTCTCCTCTTTTTTGAAACTTAAGTTGTAGGAATTTTGTACAAAAAGAACATGGAGGATGCCGTGGCCTTTCTGACCAGACTTTGCACTGTTACAGGCTGCTGTCCCGTAAATACAAGAGAAATATGCATTCAGTGGGTAGCACTCTCGTTTCTCAGCAAGAAGGTCCTGGGTTCAAATCCCGGTCGTAACAGGGCCTTTCTGAGTAGAGTTTGCATGTTCTCCCCGTGTCTGCGTAGGTTTCCCCCATAGACTGTATATATTAATGGACAGAGTCACGCCTATCTCCGCCGTTCTAACTAATGGGGGAAAAAATGTGCTCTACTGGAGCTATCCAAAATGGCAGCGAGTGGAAAATCGAGTGGAAAATGTTGAAAAAACGCATCTGCGCATGTGTCAGCCGGCGCAACGCCATTCATTAGAACAAGAGACTTAAAAAATTCACAGCAAGTAAACTAGAGTGGACCAAAGCACTCCCCTCAGCATTGACACACATGTGGAACGGAGCTTTGGGCCAAGAGCCAACTTTTGGTCCATCCTGTAAAGACGTTTTTGAGAGGTCTGCAAATGCTATATGTTAGCATTGGCTAATTCTACTTCTGGGTCCACCCCCACAGGCCCGGGATGGTATTGCAGCATGTCAGCGCACGTTATTTTGGCCACTTTTGAGCTGGGACCCTCCCCCACTGGTTTTCCCCCGGGTGCTCCGGTTTCCCCTACCACTAAAAACATGCACAATAGGTCTGAATGTAGTGAGTGAATGGATGGTGTTGGAGGGTTTGATGGTGTTGGAGGGTTTGATGGTGTTGGAGGGTTTGATGGTGTTGGAGGGTTTGATGGTGTTGGAGGGTTTGATGGTGTTGGAGGGTTTGATGGTGTTGGGAGGTTTGATGGTGTTGGGGGGTTTGATGGTGTTGGAGGGTTTGATGGTGTTGGGGGGTTTGATGGTGTTGGGGGGTTTGATGGTGTTGGAGGGTTGGATGGTGTTGGGAGGTTTGATGGTGTTGGGGGGTTTGATGGTCAAGTGTGTTTGGCGTCTCGCTTCCGTCATCAGTTTTTGGAAAGAATAGAACAATATATGAACTCTGACTATTGTAAAGCGCTTTGGGTGACATTGGTCTGTAAAAAAGTGCTATATAAACGAATAAATTACATTTAGTGGTTACTTACTTACTATCTCAACATATCGTGTCGTCATATATCGGGTGTGTGACATTTACGGCCAGTCAGATTTGAGTTTGTGATTAAACTAAACATATTTTTGGCTAATTGGACTAAATTGCTTCTTCATTAAGGAGTCCACTTGGTTCGGACCATGAATCCTCTCTGCTCTGGTCTGGACCAGTGTAAAACCATGAATCCTCTCTGCTCTGGTCTGGACCATAGACTGTATATAATAACGGACAGAGTCAAGCCTATCTCCGCCGTTCATAGGAGTTGGCCATGAAAAGTGCTTTCATGGAGCAATCCAAGATGGCCACGAGTGGTCCCGCCCACAAGAAAATTGTGAAAAAACTAGGGCTGTCAAACGATTACTTTTTTGTTGTTGATTAATCGCATAGTAATGGTGAGTTAACTCACGATTAATCGCATTTTAAGCATCCTATTTCAAATCCACTCCAAAATGTAGGTACCCCAGCTTTAATTTTGCGAGTTTGGTTGCATTTCAGCGTGTCTCCTCCTCTTCTCCGTGTGTCACACAACATCAGAGAATGGCCCCTGTGCGTGTATATATACGAGTGTATTATATGACCACGTTACCGCTGTCACCATCACACACACGCACGTCTGTGGCATTCTGAGTGATATTATTATAAATGGGCGGGTCATTCGAACATGCGATAGCCTTCCAGCCCATTTCAGAACAGGTACTCCCATATTGCCAGCCGTTTCTGATGATTTTTACTGAATTTTCAAGACCCACAGAATATTGTGTATTATGACAATCTGAAATCCAAAACCATATTCTGAAAGAATGGACTGTCTACTTTCATCAGCAAAAATAATTTTGTTTCTAGCTTGTTTCGTTCCCCTGTAATCCCCAGTCGAGTAGAGGTAAGTTTTATTGAAATCACCAGAAAGTGCATCTAGCTGTTTTCAAACCATTCATAGAGCAATGCTGCCATCTGCTGGCTCGATAAAATATTGCCTCAAACCTTACATATTTGATACAATCGACATCTGGGAACGTGAAAATAGCGGGAAACGCAATTGACGTGTTAACACGTCAATGGCAATTATTTTTTTTAACGCGTTAATGAAAACGGTAATTAACGGTAATTAACGCAGCCCTAGAAAAATCGCATCTGTGCATGTGTCAGCCGGCGCAGCTCCATTCATTTGAACGAGAGACTTCAAAAATTCCCCACGAGTAAACTAGAGTGGACCAAAAAAAATGCACCCCCTTCAGCATTGACACACATGTGGAACGGAGCTTTGGGCCAAGAGACAACTTTTGGTCCATCCTGTAAAGACGTTTTTGAGAGGTCTGCCAATGCTATATGTTAGCATTGGCTAATTCTTCTTCTGGGTCCACCCCCAACGGCCCGGGGTGGTATTGCAAGGCAAGGCAAGGCAGGTTTATGTGTATAGCACAATTCATACACAAGGCAACTCAAAGTGCTGAACAAGAAAGCATTAAAATGATAAATAATCACAGAACATTAAAAAGAAAGATAAAAACATAAAATCCCTCAGTTGTAGCACAGCTAAACAGCACCGTTTTTAACCTGGTTTTAAACATTGCCAGAGAGGAGGCCTGTCTCACATCTTCAGGAAGAATGTTCCAGATTTTAGCAGCATGAATCTGAAAAGCAGCCTCCCCATGTTTAGTTCTGACTCTGGGCACTAACAGGAGTCCAGTCCCTGTGCTCCTCAGAGTCCGGGCTGGTTCATATGGGACTAACATGTCACTAATATATTTTGGTGCGAGGCCATGGAGAGACTTGTACACAAGCAGAGCTGTTTTAAAGTCTATTCTCTGAGCCACAGGAAGCCAGTGCAGAGACCTGAGGACCGGACTAATATGGTCGTACTTCCTGGTTCTAGTCAGGACTCGAGCTGCTGCATTTTGAATGTACTGCAGCTGTTTTACAGCCTGTTTGGACAGACCTGTGAGCAGGCCATTGCAATAGTCTAACCTACTGGAGACAAATGCATGGATAAGAATCTCCAAGTCTGCTTTAGACACTATGTTTTTGATCCTGGCAATGTTTTTTAGATGGTAAAAAGCTGCTGATGTTACTGATTTGATGTGGCTATTAAAATGTAAGTCTGAGTCCAGTATTACCCCTAGATTTCTGACCATGTTTGAAGGTTTTAGGGAGAGAGACTGTAGGTGACAGATGACGCTCTCTCTTTGTTTCTGGGGACCAAAGACAATCATTTCAGTTTTGTCGGCGTTCAGCTGAAGGAAGTTGTTTTGCATCCACTCACTGATCTGTTGGATACAGTGAAGGAGTGAGTCCACTGGTCCATATTCTCCTGCAGTCAGTGAGACATAGATCTGAGTGTTGTGTGCATAGTTCCATCCATCCATCCATTATCTTCCCCTTTATCCATTTCCGGGTCAGGGGGGTGGCATTCAGAGCTGCACCCAGTACACAGAGCACCGGCCCCTCACTGATCCTCCTGCAGGTGGTGACTCCACAGGAGCTGAGATCTTTCAGCGGAGGCTTCACGCAAAGCGGGGTTAAGTGTCTTGCCCAAGGACACAACGGCAGCAGCCATCAGTGGGAGTCTTGAAGTGGGTCTTGTGGTGGGCTCGAACCCGCAACCTTCAGGCTCAAAGGCCAATGCTCTACCAACTGAGCCACTGTCGCCCCGTATGTGTCGTCTGCATAGTTGTGATAGGACACTTTGTTTCTGCGTATTAACTGACCTAACGGCAGCATGTAGAGATTGAACAGAAGAGGTCCCAGGATCGACCCCTGTGGGACTCCACAGGTCAGGGCCATATGATCTGAGACACAGTTTCCAAACTCCACAAAGTGCTTCCTGTCTTCAAGGTAAGTTCTAAACCAACTTAGGGCGGTGCCAGCGACGCCAACCCAGTCCTCTAGTCTCTGTAAGAGGATCTCATGGTCGACAGTGTCAAAGGCAGCACTTAGATCTAACAAGATTAAGATTGAGACTTGGCCTGCGTCAGTGTTCAGCCGGATATCATTTGTAACCTTGACGAGAGCAGTCTCAGTGCTGTGGTGGGGTCTAAAGCCGGACTGAAACATATCAAATGAGTTGTTGATAAGAAATCTATTTAGCTGTTGGTAGACAACTTTTTCAAGGACTTTCCCCATAAATGGCAGATTTGAGATGGGACGATAGTTGTTAAGTACCGTAGCATCCAGACTGCTCTTTTTTAGCAGGGGCCTGATGACTGCAGTTTTCAGGGCCTTTGGGAATATTCCAGAATGAAGGGACATGTTTACTATCTGTGTGAGTGAAGGTAACAGACTGCTCAGAACAGACTTTAGAAATCTAGTGGGTAGTACATCCAGGCTGCATGTGGAGGAGCTCAAACTGGAGATTATCTCTTGGACAGTTTGATCCTTTACAGGTGCAAAGTAAGTTAGCTCAGAGAGCCTTTCTGGCTGTTGGATGGTTATCTGTGGATTGGAGACAATGGCATTTTTGATGCCTTGAACCTTGTCATTGAAAAAATGTGCAAACTCATTACATTTACGTTTGGAAGTTAGCTCTAATGGCATCTGAACAGGGGGGTTTGTTAATCTATTAACTGTTGAAAACAGAACACGCAGATTGTTGCTGCAGCCTTCAATCATTTAAGAAAAATACCTTTCTCTCGTACTACGTAGCACCTGGTTAAACTCGCACAACTTATCCTTGAAGATCTTGTAATCAACCTGGAGGTTGGACTTGCGCCACTTCCGCTCGGCCCTCCGGCACTCTCTCTTTTGTGCCCTGACCGAGTCTGCTTTAGCCCACGGCGCCTTCTGCTTATTTTTCACTGTTTTAACCTTCACAGGAGCGATGGTGTCCAGAACATTCAAAACACTAGAGGTGACAGAGTTAAACAGTTCATCTACAGTAGAATACGATGCATTCTCAAAGTTTATCATTCCCATAAATAGTTCATCCGTATTTTCATTTATGTAAGCATGTCAGCGCACGTCATTTTGGCCACTTTTGAGCTGGGACCCTCCCCCACTGGTCTGGACCAGTGTAAAACCATGAATCCTCTCTGCTCTGGTCTGGACCAGTGTAAAACCATGAATCCTCTCTGCTCTGGTCTGGACCAGTGTAAAACCATGAATCCTCTCTGCTCTGGTCTGGACCAGTGTAAAACCATGAATCCTCTCTGCTCTGGTCTGGACCAGTGTAAAACCATGAACACTGAACTGCAGCAACATCTCAGGTAGAAAAAAGCAAGAAAAATAAAATGTATAAAGTACAGAACAACAACTGTTTCAGACACACTCAGGACCTGCAGCCGTTTTCCAGAACATTCTAAAGTAAACCGCACCACTAAAAAAATTGCTAATGAAGGTAGAATCCTTTCTGAAGCTTTTGAAAGAACATCATATTTGCAGGATACTTCTAACACGAAAACGTAACACTGTAGCTGGTGATTTAAACACACCTCTGCCGTAACCATCAAAATGTCTGACTTATGGTAAATATGAATTAATATAGTCGTAACAATATGCTTAGTCCATACATTCTTTTGAAACAGTTATATTGCAGCGTTGGGAATGCTTGGTGTTGGATTGAAAAACAAAATTCCAGGTCTGGCTCATCACTTTTACAACCTGTTCTCTAATGAATTCAGACTTTGCCTTTAACCAAATTAAATATTAAAATTGCTCACATCAGGACTCCTCATTTTTCTCTCCACTCTCCTCGATCTCAGCCTCGTGCGGCGAGACGTCAGGCTGAACCAAACAGTGCTTTTAAGTGTCTGTTTTTACTTCGAGCACACAGTTGTAAAAATATTGTGGGAATAGAAAGATCTTTTCTGTCACAACAACGTTCTTCCGCAGTCAACAGGTTATTCATGTGAGAGTCATTATAATAAGTGTGGGTAAACAGTTAGAAAGGAACACAGTTCCTTTCTAACTGTTTCTAACAAATGTTTTTAAAATTATAATCATTGGTTCTCCTGTCAATGCATTTACCTGTGTCTCAGATGATCGTCTTGTCGGGAAAGGTTATAATAAAAAGAGGCAAGGCAAGTTTATTTATATAGCACAATTCATACACAAGGCAATTCAAAGTGCTGAACAAAATAAGAAAGAATTAAAATCATAAATAATCACAGAACATTAAAAGTAAAGATAAAAATATAAAATCCCTCAGTTGTATGCACAGCTAAACAGAACTGCTTTTAACATTGTCAGAGAGGAGGCCTGTCTCACATCTTCTGGAAGACTGTTCCAGATTTTAGCATGAATCTGAAAAGCAGCCTCCCCATGTTTAGTTCTGACTCTGGGCACTAACAGGAGTCCAGTCCCTGTGCTCCTCAGAGTCCCAGCAGGAGTCAGTCCCTGTGCTCCTCAGAGTCCCAGCAGGAGTCCAGTCCCTGTGCTCCTCAGAGTCCCAGCAGGAGTCCAGTCCCTGTGCTCCTCAGAGTCCCAGCAGGAGTCCAGTCCCTGTGCTCCTCAGAGTCCAAGCAGGAGTCAGTCCCTGTGCTCCTCAGAGTCCCAGCAGGAGTCAGTCCCTGTGCTCCTCAGAGTCCAAGCAGGAGTCAGTCCCTGTGCTCCTCAGAGTCCCAGCAGGAGTCCAGTCCCTGTGCTCCTCAGAGTCCCAGCAGGAGTCCAGTCCCTGTGCTCCTCAGAGTCCCAGCAGGAGTCCAGTCCCTGTGCTCCTCAGAGTCCCAGCAGGAGTCCCGTCCCTGTGCTCCTCAGAGTCCCAGCAGGAGTCCAGTCCCTGTGCTCCTCAGAGTCCCAGCAGGAGTCCAGTCCCTGTGCTCCTCAGAGTCCCAGCAGGAGTCCAGTCCCTGTGCTCCTCAGAGTCCAAGCAGGAGTCAGTCCCTGTGCTCCTCAGAGTCCCAGCAGGAGTCAGTCCCTGTGCTCCTCAGAGTCCAAGCAGGAGTCAGTCCCTGTGCTCCTCAGAGTCCCAGCAGGAGTCCAGTCCCTGTGCTCCTCAGAGTCCCAGCAGGAGTCCAGTCCCTGTGCTCCTCAGAGTCCCAGCAGGAGTCCAGTCCCTGTGCTCCTCAGAGTCCCAGCAGGAGTCCCGTCCCTGTGCTCCTCAGAGTCCCAGCAGGAGTCCAGTCCCTGTGCTCCTCAGAGTCCCAGCAGGAGTCCAGTCCCTGTGCTCCTCAGAGTCCCAGCAGGAGTCCAGTCCCTGTGCTCCTCAGAGTCCGGGCTGGTTCATATGGGACTAACATGTCACTTAGGGCTGGGCGATATGGCAAAAAAAAAAAATCTCCGATTTTTTCACACCAAATCCGATTTTCGATTTTAATCAATTTATTTTTTTCTATTTAAAAACAAACTACAACTGACAAAGAAATAGATTTTCCTTTATGCAGTTCAATCTAAATCCCCATGGAGCTAAGTGTAACAGGAATTAAGCCTTAAAACATGCTTGTAAACGAGATGGCTCTGCCATTGTAAACAGTGAAAATGTAGCTTAACAGTTTTATAATAACTTCACTTACAATGACACTATGCACCTTCAAAATAACTTAAATCACACAAACAAGGCCCATCGCAAATATATCAATCCTATTAAACACATGCATTATTTACATGAAATATCACATTTTTAAAACTGATTACTCAAAATAGAAATGTTGTAACAGACAGTCTTTTCCAAAAGCCTCCTCGGGTTTTCATGCTTGTTCTTTCAACTGTGCCTGAGTAACTGTGCTGTAGTACAACGCTCGGTCCAGCTGGTGGCGCTAATACTTTTTTTTTGAGTTCAGCGTATAGATTTACTCCACCTCCAGACCTGGCGTATGTTTTGTGCGTATTGTTCGCTCACGTCCAGATAGATAAATGCGGAAAAGTGTAATATTTTTTTTTTTTTTTTTATCTTTTTATAAAAAAAAAAACATAGTTACAGTACAATAAACAACAAAGGTACTAGTGGGGTTAGGGTAGGGTAAGTATGTGTGTGTGTGTGTGTGTGTGTGTGTGTGTGTGTGTGTGTGTGTGTGTGTGTGTGTGTGTGTGCATGTGTAAGTGTTTGAGCTTGTGGGAGATATAAAGCTGAGAAATATATACAAACATGTACACCTACATATACTCTTTCACATATATAGACCAGGATGCAATAACTATGACAATCAAACGGCAACTAACAATAAAGAAACAACGTACAAAAAGAATAAATAAGTAGATATTTGAAAACAATGACAATAACAATACTTATGTTGTGTTTTCCCCTGTGCTAGTGTTGCGTTAAAAAAAATGTGAGGGGCCTAACAACTCCAGGTTGTTCACCCTCATTGAAAGGCCCCTCTCCACTTGCCCTGTGCTATTTGTGTTCGCTATTATTATTACCCTTACTATTATTATTATTATCATTATCAATCATTATCCTTCGTATTGTTATTATTATTATTCTAATTATTCCATATCAATATTAATATTGTTATCATCATCGTTTATTGCCCAACTCACTGTTGCCAATATTAGTGCCATTGCCATTGTCATCATTACCGTCACATTTCATACATTTTTCTATTGTAGTATTTTGTTGTCGCAGTTGTAGTAGGATATTTAACCATGATATTGGCTTATGTGGTGGCGCTAATACTAACTTCAGTGACTCCCGCATTGTGCGAGCTTCCTGTTTACATTCTGATGCTGTAGCTAACAGCTACTGTAGCTAACAGCTACTGCAGCAGCTACTGTAGCTAACAGCTACTGTAGCTAACAGCTACTGCAGCAGCTACTGTAGCTAACAGCTACTGTAGCTGCTAGCTACAGTAGCTAACAGCTACTGTAGCTAACAGCTACTGCAGCAGCTACTGTAGCTAACAGCTACTGTAGCTAACAGCTACTGCAGCAGCTACTGTAGCTAACAGCTACTGTAGCTAGCAGCTACTGTAGCAGCTACTGTAGCTAACAGCTACTGTAGCTAGCAGCTACTGTAGCTAACAGCTACTGCAGCAGCTACTGTAGCTAACAGCTACTGTAGCTAACAGCTACTGCAGCAGCTACTGTAGCTAACAGCTACTGTAGCTAGCAGCTACTGTAGCAGCTACTGTAGCTAACAGCTACTGTAGCTAGCAGCTACTGTAGCTAGCAGCTACTGTAGCTAGCAGCTACTGTAGCTAACAGACAGCGGGGAACACGTTGTTTGTATCAGAGCAATGAGAACAATGTGTGAGACGTGTCTTTCCCCAAAGTGCAGCGGCTCAGTGGGACACGAGTGTGTGCGCGCCACGGACACGGGAGTGCGCTTTGGAATAACGAGCGTGAGAGAGCGTGAAAGATGTGGCGTACGAACATGGCGTACGAACATGGCGTATGAACATGGCGTACGAACATAGCGACCGGGGCTTGCGTGCGTGTGTGTGTGTGTTCTGGCGATTTAAATAAAGTCTGATTCTTGAACGTTGGAAGTGTTATTGCAACAGCACCAACTGTGAGAGCGAGCATCAGGCCAGAGGGAGACTGTTAGCATTAGGTTAGCTTCAAAATGACTGCTCAACACCATAGACCCGCGGTTAGCGCGTTAGCGCTGTAGTTCTGCGCTGGAGAAAATAAAAATCGAATTTTTAAAAAAAGAAATTGCCCTAAATGTAAAACTCGAATTAATGATTAAAATCGATTAATCGCCCAGCCCTAATGTCACTAATATATTTTGCTGTTTTAAAGTCTATTCTCTGAGCCACAGGAAGCCAGTGCAGAGACCTGAGGACTGGACTAATGTGGTCGTACACATTACACATACACATAAAGAACACCATATCTAGTTCCAGGCTCCGTGCCAAGCCCCGGTGATCCAAGATGGCGTCCAATTCCAATCAGTGGCTTGTGCTCAGTGGTGCATGGGACATACACGGGGACAGAGAGATTAGCGGAACTCGTCCACTTGCCCCATATTTGGGCATTTCTCTCTGGTCCCCCTGATTCAGAGCAGAGCAAGAGCATGAGAAAAATTAGAGTTTGTGGCACTAATGTGTGGAATTAAAGAAAACAAATGGATTTAACAAGAAAAAAAAGTTCGGGACGACAAGGGACACTAAAATCCACACAAAATCCAATCTTTTTGAAAGCTGTAGATTCTCAGTCAGCTGAGATCAAGCCGTTTTAATTTGATCCAAGTTAATGGCTGTAAATATAAAATTCTCATTAATTAATTCTTTCTCAATGTACACCTCACAGTTATTGACCGGATGAATGTAATCCTGGCCTGTTGTGGGTGGGTTTGAGCCAAGACGCCAAGAGCCTTGAGCCAAATAAGAGTCATAACAGTGGAGAGACTGAGGTTGAGGTATGAGCGGTCAGCAGTGGTCAGCAGTTGTATGGTCAGCCGTGGTCAGCCGTGGTCAGCAGTGGTGTGGTCAGCCGTGGTCAGCCGTGGTCAGCCGTGGTGTGGTCAGCAGTGGTCAGCCGTGGTGTGGTCAGCAGTGGTGTGGTCAGCCGTGGTCAGCCGTGGTCAGCCGTGGTGTGGTCAGCAGTGGTCAGCCGTGGTGTGGTCAGCAGTGGTGTGGTCAGCAGTGGTCAGCAGTGGTCAGCCGTGGTGTGGTCAGCAGTGGTCAGAGCACGAGACTCTCCTGTCACAGACTCACCGCAGAGAGAGCAGTGGAGAGAAAAGTCATCGCAGAAATGAACTAAAGTGCTTTGATCCATGTCCGGAAAAGTTTGGAAGCTGCAAAGTTTAAAAAAGAAACACATTGAAATACACACTCCTTGGCTGGAAGCTTGGATTGACCCATTTTGGTTTTGTTTTGTGAAATACCGCTCATGGTGTGGACTTTTTAACCATTTGACCCATTTTTTTTATTTGCAATGTATTTGTTTTTTTTTGAGTTTGCTTCCTGTCTGTCTTCCTTAATTGTTGTTCCCCGCCCCAAAAGTGATTAACCGCTGTCTCCTGTGTGTATTTTAAATTACACATTATTTTCAGTCTTGCATTTTGGGTTCCTTTTTCTCCCACGTGACAATACCTTTAACTGAGATGAATGAAAACATAAACAAAGGATTAACATTGGATGACGTGTTTGTTACTTTAAAAGTAAATAAGTGTGTTTTTGCAATCACTGTAAGAGTCCAGTGAAGGTTACTGGCAATTATAATAAAATTATGTAATTAAAAATGAAATTAAAGGGTCTGAAGCAGATACATACTGTGTACACTTAACCCTAAGCAATTAGTATTTACAGATGTAAACATAATGCTAAACCAGTGGGGGCGGGTCCCGGCTCAAAAGTGGCCAAAATGACGGGCGCTGACATGCTGCAATACCACACCGAGCCAGAGGGCTGGACCCGGAAAGGGAATTATTCAATGAAAGTGTACATATGTTCAGACCTCTCAAAACATCTTTACAGGATGGTCCAAAGTTGGCTCTTGGACCAAAGCTCCATGTGTGTCAATGCAGAGGGGGGTGAATTTTTTCGGTCACTCGTTTAAATGAATGGGGCTCGAGCAGTTGACGTATGCATTTTGAATCACTCCATGAGAGCCAAATTTTTGGCCCATTAGTTAGAACGGCGGAGATAGGCGCGACTACGTCCGTTTATATATACAGTCTATGATGTAAACATACTGCCGTTAACATTAACAGATGCTAACATGCACAGATGTAAACATTTATGCTACAGTTAGATATTTTTGTTATTTTATTCTATCTTATGCTGTTAATGGCTTCTTAACCGAGCGTGAGCTCTGTATGGAAAAATATCAGACCGCGGCCTTAATGTACAGACCGAGCCGTGGCGAGGTCTGTACAAAAAGGCCAAGGTCTGATATTTCTCTGCACAGACCGAGCAAGCGAGGTTAATAAATGTTTTATTATATGACTCTCGTCTGTGTTTTTACCAATGCTTTTGAGATATTTGTGAAGTATGTTCATGTCCGACTTGGTTTAGTGTGATACGGGCTGCGGACAGATTGTCATGGTAACGGTCTGAGGAAAGATATAAAATGTGATACGCGCTGTTCGGACCAATTGTCATGGTAACGGTCCGAGATGGGAAAATATCAGACCGCAAATCAGCCAATCAGAGCGCGCGTACGGTCCAAGTCATATAATAAATAGAGTTATTGCTCATTTTTCTTGTGCTGTGTGCTCCTCTTTCCTACTGTTCTGTAACTTGTGATGCAACACTGAAATGTCCCCACTGTTCATCTGAATCTACCCTCTCTCTGTTCAGGTACGGAGACATGGTTCCCAAGACGATCGCAGGAAAGATCTTTGGCTCGATCTGCTCCCTCAGTGGGGTCCTGGTCATCGCGCTGCCTGTTCCCGTCATCGTGTCCAACTTCAGCCGCATCTATCACCAGAACCAGCGCACAGACAAGCGCCGGGCTCAGAAGGTACAGGTGCAGCCCCAAACTACTCTGCATAACATCAGCAGCTAACTCTAACCCTCAACGAGATGGATGGAAATGTAGCTATAACTTTTAACTACTTCAAGATTTTACCTGATCTAAACAAAAAAATGAATCCAAATATTAGATGGATAGACCTGTCTCATTCTCACAGACACCGTCACATAAATAGAATGGGGAGGAAAGAAGTTACAATACACACAATAGTTTGTCTAAGCTTTCAGTCGTGAAGGGATTAGTCAAAGCAATGGAAGGTTTCTCACCATCATCTGTACTTCTTAGCAGGTTTTCCCGATGTTTCGTCCTGAATCCAAAGAACTTTTTTCAAGAGAATGAAAGCTCAGACCGCGAGTTGGAGATTTATAGCCTGGGTTTGTTTAGCCACACCCTGATCCTGATGCTAACTCATTATTATTACTCATTATCCCAAAGGCCAAGATAATTAATTCGCAGGCCGGATCTGGCCCCTGGGCCTTGACTTTGACACCCATGCAATACAGGAATAAGTCCAGAACTACAGACTGTTAAGAGCTTTGGCTGAAGGGATAAAACTTTTGATAAATCTTTTCCGCTTCCATCTTTATAATGAGTTTCAGTTCTTACAGAGTTTGTTCAGAGTTGTTTTCAGACAGAATTATTTTCCCCCTGAGTTTCTTCAGGAAATGCATTTTTAAAGATAATCTTACGACACACATCACATTGAAATATGATTTTATAGTCGTAGCAACAGGTGCAAAGCTGAAGTCGGAACTAGATGTAATTTTGCAGTTTGTCCACTGAAGGCCAATGTCCATATTATAACTATATTTATATTTAACATCACATTTGTGGCCTCTGTCACATCTTTGGAACAGCTTTTTCAGACAGCCAATCGGCTCTTAGCCTATAGCATCAAAAACTGACTCAAAGGGTTCTTTCATAAAAAAGTTCACATGCAATAAGAGTTCTACTATTATAAAGATGTTGGGTCTAAAACTAAAACCCTGAGACTCAGACTTGTCGGGACAATAACATGTATTATTATGAAACCATTATGAGACTTGGGTGGCATCTCTGACTGCCACCCCCCTGACCCAGAAATGGATTAAAGGGTAGAAAATGAATGAATGAATGAATTATGAAACCAAGAAGTTAAGGGACATACAGTGCCTTGCGAAAGTATTCGGCCCTCTTAAACCTTTCAACATTTTGCCACATTTCAGGCTTCAAACATAAAGATATAAAATTTTAATTTTTTGTCATGAATCAACAACAAGTGGGACACAATCGTGAAGTGGAACGAAATTTATTGGATAATTTAAACTTTTTTAACAAATAAAAAACTGAAAAGTGGGGCGTGCAATATTATTGGGCCCCTTTACTTTCAGTGCAGCAAACTCAGTCCAGAAGTTCAGTGAGAATCTTTGAATGATCCAATGTTGTCCTAAATGACTGATGATGATAAATAGAATGCACCTGTGTGTAATCAAGTCTCCGTATAAATGCACCTGCTCTTTGATAGTCTCAGGGTTCTGTTTAAAGCACAGAGAGAACCATGAAGACAAAGGAACACACCAGGCAGGTCCGAGATACTGTTGTGGAGAAGTTTAAAGCCGGATTTGGATGCAAAAAGATTTCCCAAGCTTTAAACATCTCAAGGAGCACTGTGCAAGCAATTATATTGAAATGGAAGGAGTATCAGACCACTGCAAATCTACCAAGACCCGGCCGTCCCTCCAAACTTTCATCTCAAACAAGGAGAAGACTGATCAGAGATGCAGTCAAGAGGCCCATGATCGCTCTGGATGAACTGCAGATAACTACAGCTCAGGTGGCGATGGTGTGTTCAGGGTGATGAGCTGTGTTGCTTTTACGCCAAACATATCGTTTTGCATTGTGGCCAAAAAGTTCGATTTTGGTTTCATCTGACCAGAGCACCTTCTTCCACATGTTTGGTGTGTCTCCCAGGTGGCTTGTGGCAAACTTTCAACGAGACTTTTTATGGATATCTTTGAGAAATGGCTTTCTTCTTGCCACTCTTCCATAAAGGCCAGATTTGTGCAGTGCACGACTGATTGTTGTCCTATGGACAGACTCTCCCACCTCAGCTGTAGTTCTCTGCAGTTCATCCAGAGTGATCAAGGTTGAATACTTTCGCAAGGCACTGTATATTGCAAATACATTCTTCAAGGACACGACAGTGATGCTACTGAAGAAACAAACGCCTATTGAGAGATTTTGACCAGTTCTAATGTTTTTACTGTATTCACTAATATTAGATCAAATAAGACTTTTGGTTCATGTTTATATCAATGAGTCCTCTTTTAGTCTCTCTGATTATTTTAATGGTGATAAAAATGGATGAGGAAGGTGTTTCAAGGTTGTACATGGGAAACATTTGTTCACACATCAGTCCTCAGTAAAATATTACAATGTTAGACCACATAGTTTACATTTAAATATTAAATACAAAAACAAACCTTAGTGAAGCTTGTCGGCCGTATGGCAAGACCAAGCACCAAATATCCACTCGGACCGTTTCCCCACAGACCTGACCTTTCACTGGGGCCAAATAAGAGGGTTATTAAGTTAGAGAGCAGCTGTTCGTGGCTAATTGAAGAGTCTGGAAGAACTCGTAAAATGGGGGAAATGAATGGAGAAAGAACCCTTTATCTCTTCCTATTAATAAAACACACATCTGTTCTTACGATGTTATTGACTGCTAATCTATCCATCCATTTACTTCCTCTTAATCTGAACCAGGACGTGGGGGAGTGGTCTTATGTTGGGGTCCGGTGCCCAATGTGTATTAACGTTGGGGGCTGACAGAGAACCTCCCTCCTCTGGGGGCACACAACAACAGGGATGGAATGGGCTGTGATTGGTTTTGGAAAGAGTAGTGTAATGGAGAGAGAGAGAGAGAGGCAGGGGCAGCAGAGCAACAGTATGTTTATCAATGTGCACGAGTGTAGACGGCTCTGTGTTACAGCGGTGTTTCCAACGATGCACAATATCTAAGATTTTCAGCTCCAACAAAAAGGCCCTGTTTAGACGGAGACTCTGCGGCAGTAAAATGGATAGTTGGATGTCGGTTGCGACCTCCCGAAGAAAGCCAAGAACAAACGTTAATAACAATGGCGGAGGTTACACTAACTAGCTACGTGTGCTTAGCTAACGGAGGAGGATTTTACTCCTTCGTCCAAACCACTTTCCATTTTTGCTGCTGCCGTTAAATGCAGAAGGACGTTGGTTCTTTCATGTCTTTGCCGCGGCCTGAGGAGGATGTTTTTGAAGTGATTCTACTACTGGGGCACGCATTTATCGTGTTGTGAAGTTCCTCTGCCCCCTAATGACTGGGCGCTAGAACTACATTGTTTTCCCGCTTCGTCTAAACGCCGGTCGTTTCTGTTCATTGCTTTGCAGCGTCTCCGTCTAAACAGGACCCAGGACAGTCCCTTCAAAACACTATAAACAAGTTTACTGGTGTTATTATGGAGAGTCTTACAAAGCAACCCTTTGCATCGCTGAGAAGTATGCTTCGAGGACACACAGTTCAGTTGGAGATCATTGAAGAACTACTCGTTCTCCAGCTCCTCGGGATCATGGGAGCAGAAGGTCCTCTGTCCTCCCCGAGACTATCTCCTCCAAGAGAAGATGGAATCACTTTAACAAAATCAGTGTATTTTCAGATTATTTGAAGGCTAAATTGCAATGATGAAAATTCTAGCTCACCTAAAATGCACAAAAACATACATAACTTTATGTTTTTCACAGAGAACATTGTGATTGTCCAAGCAGCCTCTCCAGAGCACAAATAGTGTAATGAGTTTTTATCATGGACACAAAAAAAGATAGAGGATCAAGAGAAAAAGTATGATTATTTTTCTCATATTGCTCAGCCCTAAGTTCAGAGTTTTCAGTCTCTTTTGTGCACCTTATAATTACCATATTTGATAAACTAATGAGCAGTCATTTATTGATTCTGTCAAGTTACAAACTGTTGCCGAGCAACACCAGCTGACAGTGAAGGCGAGGAGGACACAGGAGTTTGGCAGAGATATGTGCGATGTCAATGTCAAAGGGATTTAATGGGGTTTCAAGTGTTAAAGTGAATTTAGTGAATACACTAAAGTTCTGGAATGAATACAAAACTCTGAAGACGGCTCTTTGAGAGAGAAACCGATGAATGCTTATGAAAATGATGTAGTGTAAAGTCTGTTACTGCATTCTTTTTACCTCCACAACAACAGAAGGCTCACAGAATAGGACTTCATTTCACTCTGTGTCATACATGTCTGTGACTGTGAAGTGCATAGTGGGTCTGACAAAGTGCTCACGTCACCCTGAGTGTTTACCTAAAGCCGAAGAGCCGATTTGAACAGTTGTTCTGATGGCGGTGTCTTTGTGCCGAGGGCAGCTGTGGCTGAATAACACGATCCTTGTGGGTTTCATAGCTGAATTTACAGAGAATATCAGAATATATAAAATAAATGTTAAGAATCTGCTGCTGCTCAGTCCTTCAGTTCTCCATTCTTGTCTTGCGTGGTGCCATGGGCCGCACCACGCAAGACAAGACTAAAAAGAATTAGCTACAAGTCATCAGTGGGAGTCATGAAGTAGGTCTTGTGGTGGTCTCGAACCCACAACCTTCAAGTTCAAACGTCAATGCTCTACCAACTGAGCCACTGTCGCCCTAGGATTCTTTCAATGCAGTAATAAAAACACACAACATGCAAAAAAACACAAAAATAATTAAAACCACCACACATTGTCTTCTTAATCTTAATCTTAATACATTTTGCACCCACTGACATTTGCATACCGGGAATAAAGTGCTCAGAGAAAAGTCTGCATCGACAGCATCTGGAACGCAGCGTTGGACCAAGAGCCACTTTTGGATCATCTGTAAAGCCATTTTTTCAAGAAGAAATAAGGCGTCATATTAAAGCATTGGGTAATTCTCTTTCCGGGTACACCCCCACCACCCGCAAGGAGTGAGATAGCAGCATGTCAGCGCACAGTCACGGACCTTTTGGACCCTGAACCCGCCCACATCGGTTCAACGCACCGTATGACCCAATGTGTATTGTCAGATTACTTAATAAATATGATTCTTTTTTTTAATACTTTGCGCTGATTAATAATCATGGATCTATAATAACAACTGGATAGGGTATTACTAGCGTATAGCTTATAAATTCACGCGGGCTACCCAGAAAAAGGTCCCATAGATCTCAAAGTAAACTAAAACAGCCCGACCTCAGCTGACAGAGAACCTACAGCTTTCATAAAGATTGGATTTTGTGGGGATTTTAGTGTCCCTTGTCATCCTGAACTTTTTTCTTCTTAAATCCTTCGGTTTTCTTTAAATGCACACTTTAGTGCCACAAACTCTGCCCGTCCGGCTCTCGCTCTGCTGCTGTTCTGATCAGCAGCTCTGATTGGTCAGAGCGTGGCCGAGCCCCTGTGCACGTACGTATTTGGCTCAAAGCATCATGGGAGCTCGTCCACCGCGCAGAACCGAGAGGACCAGACGATGCCCAAATATAGGCGAGTTCTGCTAATATCCCAGTCTCCGTGAAGTCCCATGAACTACTGTGCATTTGAATAGGGCGCCATCTTGGATTCCCGGGGCTTGTTCCTAATGTGCTTGATAAAATCTGTGACATTTTGCGAAGGGCATGAAACGGCTTGAAACAGATGGTCTGACCAAAGCATTTAAAAAAGCGGATCAATGTTGCTGTATTTTCACAAAGTAATCGTGGAGGAGGAGCAGGTGCAGTACTTTCTGAAGCACATGCAGCCGTGAAGAGCCCATTAACTGTGAAAGCAAATGAATCAGACGCATGGGTTTGATTTGTAAATGGGTCTAAGTTCAGCAGAAGAATATGTCTCGGAGGGTGTTATTACGCAGCCGGTCTCAGGTCTGAGGGAGGATTCTTCTGCATTGATCCAGAAATTGAAAAAAAGTTCAATTTTTGAAGTAATGTGTTTTTTGTAATGATAACTTTTTTCTAACTACGCAATGTTCATTTTGTAATTTTTATATTTACAGGTATTGCTAATTGTCTTACTTCTCGTTTAACAAATCGGGCGGCACGGTAGCTGAGTGGATAGCAATCTCGCCTCTCAGCAAGAAGGTCCTGAGTTCAAATCCCGGTCGGACCAGGGCCTTTCTGAGTGGAGTTTGCATGTCCTCCCCGTGTCTGCGTAGGTTTCCTCCGGGTACTCCGGTTTCCCCTACCACTAAAAATATGTACAATAGTTCTGGCATGCGCCTCCTGTACTGGCCACGCTCCCATCTCTGTGTGGAGTGAGAGACAAATGCCCAAAAAAAAAATATATATATAAACAATTGTAAACCGCTTTGTGACTCAGATCTGCAGTGAAAAGGCGGTATATATAAATAAAAGATTACTAGATTACTAAATATGACTTGGTCCGGTGCTGTTTGGATGGAGGCACCGAACAGCTTTGTGAAAGTTGTTGATTAACTGCATTCTTCCGTGTAAATAGAAAGTCCTTCTGACCGCTTCCCAGGGGTCAGTCTGACATATTTGTGATTTAATTTGTACCCTCTGCCTAATATAATAATAATAATTTTGCTTTTATGGATGTAAAGTTTTCCCGTCAAACCTCTCAAGCTAAGCAGGACAGGGCCTGTTTAGGTACTGTGAAGGGGGACCTCTGAGAACACCAGGTGCCATAGTGGGATAGCTGTGGCTGTAAAGTGCCAAACTGTGGTTGTGTCCTTAGGCAAGACACTTCTCTCACATTAGAATGAGTCTGGTGTGTGGTGATGGTGGGAGGGGCCAATAGCACAGACTGGTTGCCTCGCTTCTGTCAGTGTGCCCCAGGGCAGCTGTGGCGACAGTAGTAGTTTATCACCACCGTGTTTGGATTGAAGGAATAATGACAATAATAATGTGAAGTGTCCTTGAATGTTCTGAAAAGCGCTGTATAAAACCTAAACATTGTTATTATTATTATTATTATGATAGTGGTATGTTTAATAGTGTGAAAAAATCATCCACATTCTTTTGAGTTTGCTACCGACAAACAAACACTGGTGATCACATTACCTCCTGGATGAAGACAATAGCTCCAAACTTACCACAAACACATACAGTCATTTACAGTATGTTCTTTAAAACATAGACCATGTAGTATTGGCGTGTGACGAGTCAAGTGTCACGTCCTTTTGACCCTTTAACACTAACGCCTCCTCTTTTTTCCCACGTGCAGAAAGCTCGACTGACCCGGATCCGAGTGGCCAAGTCCGGGAGCGCCAATGCTTTCCTCCAGAGTAAACGCAACGGCCTCCTGAACCAACTGCTGGAGCTGACGGTGAGAGACGCTTCATCACTGACCACTTTAACAATACTAATACATATTGTCTTGTATGGCCCTGATTCACAAAAGTAGTTACCGTGAAGGAATTTACAAAACTGTTGAATTCGCCGACACGGATCAGAGAATCAAACCCTAACACTCAAAAGTCTTGATTGATGTTGTCTCTGTTTTGTATCTTTGTCATGTGAATGTAGTTTAAAGGCTTTTTACAAGATGCAAGAATTTATTTGCCATTTGCAGTAAAACCACATTGGAAAAACTGTGCAAGACCACCCCAGTGTGCACCAGACAGAGAAGACACCAGAGCTTATGCCATTATTTTAGCATTACAGCCAGGGCACTACAGATGAAAAATAGTCTCCTTGGGATAATTCTGGATATTTTTACTCAATCATGGGTTTTATTAAGTTGCATTGTCCCCTTTGAATTAAACTAAACTGAACCTGAAACACAAGAAATGCAATGTCAAAAAACACATAGAGCCATTGGTCCATAAGGGACAGAGACCAATGTCCATGAATGTTGATAAATGTCCATAGAGACAGAAATAGGCCTGTCACAATGATTATATATTTACTCTGTTCTTTAACTGAAGGTCCAAAAGTGGCTCTTGGCCCAAGTTCCAGATGCTGTCAATACTGAAGGGGATATTATTTTAGTCGCTGTGATCTTTTTAAGGCTCTTGTTGAATGAATAATAATAATCTTTATTTGTATAGCAGTTTTCACAAACAATGTTTACAAAGCGCTGCACAATCAGCACAATAAACAATAAGACAGTCATAAGAATACAAAGTCAAAATAATGAGATAGAGAAAGACAAATCCAACAGAGAGAAGAAAGACACCACAAAGACTAAGCAGACAGAAAAATACAACATGAGAAGTTTAAAGCTGACAATTAAAAGCTGTTTGATTCAAAGTGATTTTAAAGAGGATACTGGTGCTAGAGCCTTATCTCCTCGGGCAGGTGGTTCTAAAGTCGAGGAGCCCGGACAGAGAAGGCTCGGTCCCCCTTCGTCTGGAGCCTCGACCGTTTTTTTCACATTTACCTGCCTTGCGGCCATTTTGAAAAAGCCACAGAAGGAAAAAATGGTGGCACACTAATTTCAACGACGGAGATAGGCGTCACTACGTCTGATGATATTTGCAGTCTGTGGGGAATCCAGATCCTGCTCCTAGACCAGGTGAAATTCAGTCCCTTCATCCACCAGGTTTAGACACAAATATTTCTATGCATTTTTGACAAAACAACAAAAAGTCTGGAAAAGTGTGTGGGAGTGCTGAACATTTATTTATTTATTTTTTTTTTTTTTATTCAACACCATGAGATACAAATTCCAAATGATAAATTACTATGTACAACATGGTAGTGCAGAATATGTTGGTGGAGTAGGTGGAGGAAGGAGAGGGAGGGGAGGGCATTTTTTTGACATCCAGAGCAATGACCAAAGTAAAGAAGTTAGTCAGAAAGTCCTGATCCATACACAGATTAGAACATCCCATGATTTTATTTTACCATAAAGGTTTTTCTTCTTCGGAGCAGCCCGTGTCCCTCGCAGCCACTGTTTTAAATCAACTGTGCCCAGGATGTTTCCGCTGCAGTGTTGTGTAGTTTTATTGTTAATTAAATGTTTACTGCAGCAGGTGGTTTCACTCCGTCTTATTTAATGAGGCCCCACAGAGTTTTAAATCTATTACTACACCACAGCCATCAAAGAGCCACATAACTGCATTATAGCACGATTTGACGACGGCCGTGTACAACTTTTGGACCATTACCACAGAATGAAAAATTGAGGAAAAGTAAAAGCAAAAAGTTATAGCTCACGTTTGGGAAAAGTGTTTTATGAATTCATTTGAAATATGTTTTAACAACACCCAAATGCCACTCACCTGTCGTCACAAATCATAAGGACACGACAATATTCAAAAGCAGGAGCAAAAGTCCAGCTGTTTCCCGATTGATTTTTAAAGGCCTTGAGCATTCAGCCAATCAATCAATCAATCCATGTATTCTGCAAGTTTCCACCCTCTTAAAGAACACTTGTGGACTTCCGGTGTGAATTTGATTCAGGAAAAAATGGGTTTAGTTTGGCCACAGCTGAGAGAAAATTGGTTGAAGTATTAAATCAGTACCAATGTCTCTATGCTGCTGAAAACATAAATGGTGCTGGCTTTCATGGAAGTTTCAATTGGACGGCACGGTCAACCAACCAACCAACCAACCAACCTACCAAGAAACCAACCAACCAACCAACCAACCTACCAAGAAACCAACCAACCAACCAACCAACCAACCAACCAACCAACCATGCACCCAACCAACCAACACAGCAAGCAATCAACCAACCAACCAACCAACCATGCAACCAACCAACCAACCAACCATGCAACCAACCAACCAACCAACCAACCAACCAACCAACCAACCAACCATGCAACCAACCAACCAACCAACCATGCAACCAACCAACCAACCAACCAACCAACCATGCAACCAACCAACCAACCAACCATGCAACCAACCAACCAACCAACCAAGCAAGCAATCAACCAACCAACCAACCATGCAACCAACCAACCAACCAACCATGCAACCAACCAACCAACCAACCAACCAACCAACCAACCAACCATGCAACCAACCAACCAACCAACCAACCAACCAACCAACCAACCATGCAACCAACCAACCAACCAACCATGCAACCAACCAACCAACCAACCAAGCAAGCAATCAACCAACCAACCAACCATGCAACCAACCAACCAAGCAAGCGACCAACCAGCCAACCAACCAACCAACCAACCAACCAAACCCATGTCTGCGTAGATTTGCTCCGGGTGCTACGGTTTCCCCACCACTAAAAACATGCACAGTAGTTCTGGCATGTGCCTTCTGTAGACGACCTGTAAAAATGTTATACTTCTTTTTTATTATTATTATTTTCAAGATAGAGATTTTATACTGAGTGCTATTGTTCACTTAACTTGAGCTGTGTGCTCCTCTTTCCTACTGTTCTATAACTTGTGATGCAACACTGAAATTTTCCCACAGTGGAAAGAAATTAAAGATCTCTTCATCTTAATCTCCCATCTCAGTCAGAGTCAGAGACAAACACCCACAACATTTATAAAGGGCTTTGTGACTCTCTTTATAGTCTATAATCTATAAACTATTATCTGCAAAGAACGTCTTGATTTTTGTCTTTTACCGTTTTTTGTGAGCAATCTATCATAGAATGTGATATTATATAATTATATACAGATTCCACACAGACTCGTAAAACTAATTTTGCTATTCAAATATCTCTGAACTACTGTTCTCAGTTAAAGATGTGTTCGAAAAGAGCATGATTTAAAAACGCCTTTTGAAATATTTAATGATGACTTGACATGAAAATGCTACATATTGCTACTTTAAAAACCATTTGAAGCTAAATGAATACCTTCACAGACAGCACCGGGCACAGATGGACAACAAACTACTGGAAAAGGTTCTCGATCTTTCTGTTTTTCATTGTTTGGTTTTGCAGAGTAAAAATGTATGTTTGTAAAAAGCAATTTCCGAGTTTGTCACTTCCTGTTACTCGCAAGGCACCAAAAGGATTCTGATTCTGATGATTCTGTTGTGATCCATGTTCCGTTTTCAATTGCACTGTATTCTATTTTTTATTTTCTTAAACATCAACGACAAAAAGATCCATTCTCTTCTCTCTCTTGCAGTGAATGACCAGACTGTGTTTTTATAGTTCAGCAGTATTCTACAGGAGTACTGTTTGTTTGTATTCGCAAGTATGCGCAAAGTATTCCTGAAACCAAACACACCTGTACCTGTGGGTATAAAATGTAATAAACTTCCAACAAGTTATGCTCATCTGCAAAAGAACAGGACTTTTTAAAACTGTTTGGAGTCGAAATTGCCGCAGCCTTTTAAAAGTAATGAACCCAAAAATAAGCAATATGCAGTTTCCCTAAACAGACAACTCATACTAGAGCGTTTTAACAACACACACACACACACACACACACACACACTTAATTTTACTATGACTTACAGCATCATCTCAGAGACTTAACAAAACCATTGAAATCACCAACACAGATCAGAGAATCAACAGAATATAGAATGTTGATAAATGTCATACATGTTGTAGAATGTTAAAGTGTCCTGGATCATCACAGTCCTTCTAGTTGGACACTAACTGCCCAACAGACAGACTGCAGAACGAGGACTGAGGCTGTAGATCCAGGACTCAGACTGTAGAACGAGGACTCAGACTGTAGAACGAGGACTGAGGCTGTAGATCCAGGACCTAAGCTACAGAACGTGAACCAGCGGCCGTTGAACGTGGACAGGTCCGGTACAGGACTGATGCGCTCCCAGGCGGGGCAGTCCGCAGGTGCAGATGGAGGAGGCCAGGTTCAGAGGTCCCGCCGTCGCACCGTGAAACAGACAACGGGTGAATAGCAATGAACATACTACTGTCAAAATCCTAATAATGCAGACAGATAAAGTATTCTCGATGGCTTTTCCGAGCTTGGCCTGTTAAAGACCCAAGAAAAGGTTCTCCTGGTCAATCATCCGAGGAGAACATTCCCTACGGACATCGTTCATCTGGAAGTATCCTCTGGGAGAGCACCTTTAATTTCTGTCTGCTTCTTGTTTGTTTTACCTGCAGTAGTAGATTTACAACGTGTATCGCAGATGGAGGCACTAGAGTAGCTCCATGACTTTCTTCCTTCCATTTAATCCTAATCTTGCCCTGACAACAAACAATGATTGTTTCTTGTCCAAGTAATAAGACTTTTAATGGACAGTATTGGCGTTTGGACACCGTTTGAAATGGGCTCCTGTGTCGCCGCCTCGTGTTCTGTTGATTTAACATTGATTGTTCCCTACACAGACACAGCGCTGCATCTGAATGAGTCTGTTGTGATCATTTTGTTCTTATCAATACCAAGACATCCTTTAGTCATTTTGTTCTCATGAAGGTTCCAACAAATTAGGATCTCTTTGTTCTAAAGTGTTTAATAAGCAGCGGCTTTCAGGACGATCCACTCGCAGACAGCTAAGAAGAAAACAAATGATCCTATTTGTTATCTAAATATTTATTGGATTAGCTCTCAGATGATAATTCAGCTTCAACATAATCTCAGGGCAACGCACTTTTTTTCCTCTTTTCACGTTAAAGATTCAGTCAGTGATTTTTTCCAGACCCATTCTTTTAAATATTGTGGGAAAACGTCCCTAAACCCTGAAAGTATCAAGTTTTCATGTGTTTTCAAATAGTGATGGAATTGACCAGATGTCTATAGTCTACAAAAAATAATAAAATATATTTTGGAGCGGACCGATAAAAATGAACCAATGGGATTCGTTTATCCCCAATGAACCAATGGGATGCTTTTACCGGATTTTCTAAAACCTAAAATGGCTGAACAGAAAATGCCAATTTCACGTTTTCTCCACTCTCCCTGTTGTGACAAAGAAAAGAAAATGCTGGATGTTTGGTTTGGTGGAGAGGGAGGGGAGGGGGGAGTGGTTTGGTGGAGAGGGAGGGGAGGGGGGAGTGGTTTGGTGGAGAGGGAGGGGAGGGGGGAGTGGGTTGGTGGAGAGGGAGGGGAGGGGGGAGTGGGTTGGTGGAGAGGGAGGGGAGGGGGGAGTGGTTTTTGTGGAGAGGGAGGGGAGGGGGGAGTGGTTTCGAGGTGGTGCTACGGCTAAGCTAACAACATCGCTAACTGCACCTTTAAGGTTACAAATGTGAATAATGCCAAACAAACTATTGCAGGAGGTCTGGGAGAATGTGCGTGTTTCTTTTTTAATTATAATTACTCATTTATTTTCACATCCCCAATACATTCAATTTTGTAAACACATTACAGTTGTAGGAGCAGGTGCATAGGACGTCCATAAAAACATTGAACAGAACTAGTAATAAACTCCAAGATGGCAGCAGGTCTGACAAACTGTGGCGTTTCTTACACAGCCTTCAGCAGAGAGCTCGGACCCCGCACTCGTGAAGCCGTCTCTACAGGTTCTTTAAATCCCCAAAGCAGAAGAGGCAGTTTGGGAACTCTCCCTCCAGCAGAAGGTGTAGGTAGAGCTGGCCAGTGTTCTGCTGCTGGGATGCTGACCAGAGGCAGCACAGATGCAGACCTGGCAGCCCACAGCGAACAGACTTTAGGTCCTCGGATCTCAGCCAGACCTGAAGCCTCGCCACGGAGGAGCTTACCAATAACAACCTAAACAACTTTACTTTCTTTAAAAACAGCACAAATAAACAAACAGAATGAAATATACAATGAAAATAAAGTACGGGCTTCTCAAAGACACGGTTGTGTTTAGCTGGAAGGAAAATATGATAATAATGTAGTAATCAAAATCCAACACATAATAAGTGTAATTAAAATGGTTGCCATCGTGTATGTGTGCGCGCGTGCGTATCTGTGTATGTGCGTGTGTGTGTGTATGTGAGTGAATGCGCGTGTGTGTGTATGTGCACATGGATGTCTGCGTGTGTGTATGTGCATGTGTCCGTGTGTGTGTGTTTGTGCGCGTGTGCGTTTGTGTGTGTTTGTGCGCTCGTGTTTGCGTTGAACGCACAGCTATAAGAACTTTTACAATCTGATCAGAGTAGATGTCTGTCTCACATTTTCAGGGAGACTTGTAGCTGCATCAATCTGAAATGCAAAGGTTCCAAAACACATTGATTTTGTGTAATTCGCAACAGAATAAATGTCTCCAGCTCCAGAACCAGGACTGGCATTGTTCCTGGTTCAGACGAGCTGCTGCTGCTGCGTGTTTTTCTCTCAAATCCCACTTCTCACATTTATATCAACGACTAAATCATGTTTTTTGACAGAGTTTGGGAGCGCGCGGCAGAAGTATCCACGGCCCACGTCAAGCCTGGGTTTTTGTCGACGTGTGGAATGTGAATGAGAACCCATGATGTCCTGGGAGAAACGGTGCATTCTGTGGGGAGAGAATTAATTTGTTTTGCGTTTTCATTTGGCAATAGTGATTACTGCGGAGACTAAGCTGTGCCGGAGCTGCAGCTTTGGAAGTCGCTCTTGTTTGGAGCAACACCAGCAATACAAACAACTGCTGGTTTCCATACAAGACCCTGTTTTTCTCAGACTTTGCACTATAGAGCTGTTTGGAGCAAGGCGTGCTTTAGTGACTGCTTTACAGCCACTCTAAAGCAAAGGCCTGGAGGAAGTTTATACAGATATTAAACCTACAATACTAGGGTTAAAGGTGCATTGTGTAGTTTGTACTCCCATCTAGCCTTGAGATGATATACATGTATTGTAAATTATGGTACTAATTTTGAAGGAAAAGGCCCACATATATGAACAAATACGGGGTAAAAGTGTTGATGGATAACTTTGCATCTGCCCTAAAACCTCAACCTGCGCAGCGCGTGCAGCCGTTGACAGGGAGGAAGAAGCAAAGGGCTTCTCCTGCACAGACACCGCGACCATCTCCACTAAATCCACAGGTCTCTGCACCTCCACCGCCTCGAAAAGAACTCAACACCTCCTCCGCCCCGAAAGAACTCAACGCCACCACCGCCTCGAAAGAACTCAACGCCTCCACCGTCTCGAAAGAACACAACGCCTCCACCGCCCTGAAAGAACTCAACACCTCCACCGCCCCGAAAGAACTCAACGCCTCCACCGCCCCAAAAGAACTCAACGCCTCCACCGCCCCGAAAGAACTCAACACCTCCACCGCCTCCAAAGAACTCAACGCCTCCACCGCCTCCAAAGAACTCAACACCTCTACCGCCCCGAAAGAACTCAACGCCTCCACCAACTAGAAAGAACTCAACGCCTCCACCGCCCTGAAAGAACTCAACACCTCCGCCAACTAGAAAGAACTCAACGCCCCCACCGCCCCAAAAGAACTCAACGCCTCCACCGCCCCAAAAGAACTCAACACCTCCACCGCCCTGAAAGAACTCAACACCTCCACCGCCCTGAAAGAACTCAACGCCTCCACCGCCCCGAAAGAACTCAACACCTCCACCGCCTCAAAAGAACTCAACACCACCGCCTCAAAATAACTCAACACCTCCACCGCCCTGAAAGAACTCAACACCACCGCCTCAAAAGAACTCAACACCTCCACCGCCCTGAAAGAACTCAACACCTCCACCGCCCCAAAAGAACTCAACACCTGGACCGCCCTGAAAGAACTCAACACCTCCACCGCCCTGAAAGAACTCAACGCCTCCACCGCCCCGAAAGAACTCAACACCTCCACCGCCTCAAAAGAACTCAACACCTCCACCGCCCTGAAAGAACTCAACACCACCGCCTCAAAAGAACTTAACACCTCCACCGCCCTGAAAGAACTCAACACCTCCACCGCCTCAAAAGAACTCAACACCACCGCCTCAAAAGAACTCAACACCTCCACCGCCCCGAAAGAACTCAACGCCTCCACCGCCCTGAAAGAACTCAACACCTCCACCGCCTCGAAAGCACTCAACACCTCCTCTACCAGCCTCATCATTTCAATATGTTTTTTAAAAACATATTGAAATGATGCATAACCTGTTAAACCAAGACCAAACACAGTGGGCCATATGTTTTTTAATGATTTAATTAATAATCCAACATCATCCCAGCGACCAGGAGAACTCATTTGCGGGCCGGATCTGGCCCCCGGTTCTTGACTTTGACTCCCACACTCTATGAGGATGATGGGAAATGCAATTCAACGTAATATCTACCAGAGAAAACCAGATCTGTCAGAAAACACACCTGTACTTTTTCATCTTGCACTAAATCTTTATTTGAATTACTGTTCAATGCTGAGCGATTGTAACTAACTTGTCTGCATTATTATGTTTTATTATGATGTGTTTAATGTGTGAATTGTGTGCGTGGCAGGGGACTGAAGAGGACGAGCAGAGGCTGATCCGAGCGACGTCTACGTTACAGAGTCAACACCACCACCTGCTGCACTGTCTGGAGAAAACCACTGTGGGTACAGCTTCATCCAAAACACTATGACCAAGATTTAAAACTTATTCATGATTACTTATACAGTAGGTATATAGGGGGTTTTCTACGTGTGGATTATCAAGACTTTTTTTTATGTGTGTAGGTATGGGTGTGTGAGTGTGTGTAAATGTGTGTGGGTGTGGGTGTGTGTGTGCGTGTGCGTGTGTGGTTATATAAACTGTACATATGTATAATTGTTTTGCATTTTTCATCCTTTCTTTATTATTCCTAAGGTTTGCTTAGTGTTTTTTTGTTTTTTGCTCTTCTCTTTTCTTCCATGTGTCTGAGTGAATATAGGGATTATGTTTTAAAATGCAATAGAAAATATTGTTGAAAAACCAAAAAAAGAGACTATTGCTGGTCCTAATCCTCAATCATTCTGATACAAGCTCGTCAAATCAGACCAGAGAGTTTTGTTCAGAAGGTGGAGAGGGCGGTTCTTTCCTAAAATTTGGGAAAATCCTCCTTTAAACCCTCAGCTTTACCTTGGTCTATTCGTGTAGATTTGCACTAAACACAACTGTTAAAAATCACTGCTAAATGTTTCTTCGAGATTCTAGATGATAGATACATTGACAGACAGACAGATACATAGACAGACAGACAGATACATAGACAGACAGACTGATACATAGACAGACAGACAGATACATAGACAGACTGATACATAGACAGACAGACTGATACATAGACAGACAGACAGATACATAGACAGACTGATACATAGACAGACAGACTGATACATAGACAGACAGACAGATACATAGACAGACAGACAGATACATAGACAGACTGATACATAGACAGACAGACTGATACATAGACAGACAGACAGATACATAGACAGACAGACAGATACATAGATAGGTAGATAGATATTAGATTAGATAGATATTGATCCTCGTTGCACAAATTCAGGTGTCCAGTAGCAGCAAAACTATGGGTTATTTAGGTAATATCTAAAAAGCCAACAACAGTAATGATCAGCAGCAGCAGAAGTGTGTTCTCGTGTTGTGTTCGACATCTCGAAATAACCAACAATAGCATTAAAATGCAGCAGGCCTCAGGTCCCAGCAGCAGAAGTGGAGCAGGACTAAATAAATACTGCATTTATTATTTATGAAGCTTTCTTTGAGCGTTTGATCATTTTAAACATTGACAACAAAACAGAAACAAAAAATATCTCATAAATCTGGATAAAAATTGAGAATCCTGGTTCAAACTGCTGTGTGTGTTTTTGTGTTCAGGCTCGTGAGTTTGTGGAGGAGCACGTGTTTGAGCAGCACTGTTTGGAGACGGCGCTGCAGAATTACCCGTCCCACAGTCCGTCCCTGGGCTCCGAGGACAGCGGGACGTTCTGCTGCTGTGGACGCAGGACCAGGAACCCTCTGGCCCCCAGCAGCGACACTGTGTCCACACGGGGCCCTCTCCAGGAGCTCAGTGCCCTCCACATACAGAGCAGCCACTTCAACCTCCACCCCACCAGGTGCACCTGACACAATCAATCAGTCAGTCAATCAATCAATCCATCAGTCAACCATCCATCAATCAATCAGTCAATCCATCAGTCAATCAGTCAATCCATCAGTCAATCAGTCAATCAATCCATCCATCAGTCAATCCATCAATCAGTCAATCAATCAGTCAATCCATCAGTCAATCCATCAATCAGTCAATCCATCAATCAGTCAATCCATCAGTCAGTCAATCAATCAATCCATCATTCAATCAATCAGTCAATCTATCAATCAATCCATCAGTCAATCCATCCATCAATCAATCAGTCAATCCATCAGTCAATCCATCCATCAATCAATCAGTCAATCCATCAGTCAATCCATCAATCAATCCATCAATCAATCAGTCAATCAATCAGTCAATCAATCAGTCAATCAATCAGTCAATCAATCAATCAATCAGTCAATCCATCAGTCAATCCATCCATCAATCAATCAGTCAATCCATCAGTCAATCCATCAATCAATCCATCAATCAATCAGTCAATCCATCAGTCAATCAATCAATCAATCAGTCAATCAATCAATCCATCAGTCAATCCATCCATCAATCAGTCAATCCATCAGTCAATCAATCAATCCATCAGTCAATCCATCCATCAATCAGTCAATCCATCAGTCAATCAATCAATCCATCAGTCAATCCATCCATCAATCAGTCAATCCATCAGTCAATCAATCAATCCATCAATCAGTCAATTTATCAGTCAATCAATCAGTCAATAAATCAATCAATCCATCAGTCCATCAATCAATCATTCAATCAATCAATCAGTCAATCAATCAGTCAATCCATCAGTCCATCAATCAATCAGTCAATCAATCAGTCAATCCATCAGTCCATCAATCAATCAGTCAATCAATCAATCAGTCAATCCATCAGTCCATCAATCAATCAGTCAATCAATCAATCAGTCAATCCATAAGTCAATCAATCAATCAGTCAATCAATCAGTCAATCCATCAGTCCATCAATCAATCAGTCAATCAATCAATCAGTCAATCCATCAGTCCATCAATCAATCAGTCAATCAGTCAATCAATCAATCCATCCATCAATCCCTCGTTAGGGTCCACAGGTCGTACTGATCCCGAGCGACTAAAGCTGAAGCAAACAAACTTGTACACGGAGTACTTTTAAATGTTTTTGCCTTTTTTTTTCATCTTCAGTGTTTTTTTATTTTATTTGTATTTATTTAATCTTTAATTCAGACACACAAAGGGTCCATATAAAACAAAAGAGACAAAAAAACACACAAACATTCAATATTTACAACATTCTATAAAGACAGCTTCTCCAATGCCTCCAGAGGTCAGAGATCAGAGGTCAGAGGTGAGCCTAACACTGCTCTGTACAGTAAAAACATTCATTATTACATTTAAAGAGTGCTCAGAGCGTTTCATGAACTTATAAAAACAGTTTCTGATCACAGCAGTCAGAGCGGGGACATTATTAAAAACAAACAGCTGGCACTAGTCCAACGAGGGACTCTCAGTCAAATTCTAAGTGCATCATTGTATGCAACCTGCAGCTTCGTAAACTTACTCTTACTGTATCTGCACCACAGGGGGCAGTATAGAGCGGTGTGCAGTAGGCTTTAAACAAAGTTATTTTCACTTTCGCTGTACACATGTGAAATCTCCGAGCCAAAGTGTTAGCCTGTCCATACAGCTGACAGTACTGCCTCTGAACGTCATCGTCATCACTGAGGTCACTCCTGATGACTGGCCCTGCAGGTATTTGGCCTTCTCTACATTCAGAAGCTCCACACCAGACAAATAAAAGGCAGGAAAAGAGGTCTTCAGGTGTTCTTTGGTCCTCACCACCATAACTACTGACTTTTTAGAGTTAAACTTAATGTCATACTGTTCCCCATATTCTGTGCAGACTCTCAGCAGCTGCTGCAGACCTGTAGCGTAGGGGACATGATGACATCTGCATAAAGAAGGTGGTTCAAGAGTCTGTCTCCAATAGAGCAGCCGGTCTTACACTGCCTTAACTTTACAGATAACTCATCTGTAAAGTTCTGACACGGTTCTGACACTGCCGTACCCCATTTAACCTGCATGGTTTGGTGCGAGTACCAGAAATGGAGGAGACGAACTAAATATGCAGGGACCCCTCTTTGCATCAATTTATAAAATAATTTAGAATGGTTAATACGATCAAATGCTTTAGAAGCATCCAGGAAACACACAAACATAGTAGAACTCTGCCTTTGATATTTACTTAGAGCCTCTTTTAGAGAGTATATGAACATGTCAGTGCCATGTTTGCTTTTAAAACCAAACTGCTCGTCATTTGAGGTACAATACTGCAGGAACCGCTCTGATTAAATTATTTCTATCACCTTAGAAAGCACACTGGCGAGTGCAATTGGCCTGTAGTTTTCTAAACTAGACAATTTTCCTGTTTTATCCTTGATTACAGGTGTAAGGAGGACAGACATCAGTGAGCTCCGCAGTGTACCATGCATTAACATACCAGTAAAGCAAAGTGAAAGCAGGACATAGTCTAGGGCTGGCATACTTCAGATGCTCTGCCGTTAGCTTGTCCAGGCCACAGGATTTACCCACAGACAGTTTCTTAATAGCTGCGTTTTTATCCGTTGATTTGTCAATAATAAAAAGCTTTAAAAGTTTCTTTTAGTGTTTAATTGTTATTATTTTTTCATTTTAAGTTTTTCATATTGTATTTATTTTTTCATTGTTTATTTTTTTTTAGCTTTTTCTTTGGTTTTTCATTCTATTTATTTTTTGCAGTTTTTTTTGTTTTTCATTTTTTGTTCTTTTGCAGTTTCTTTTAGTTTGTCATTTTTTGTTTATCGTTTTTCATTTTTACTTTGGTTTGCCGTTTCCTATGAAGCCCCTCATGTCTTGCAGAACCCTCCCTAACCGTGCATAAACCTGTATTCCATTATTTCCTCAGTCGCTCCAACCTGAACCTCCGAACAGACGACAGCAGCAGGATTAACTGTAAAAAAAGCGGCAGAGTGACCACAGCGATAATCAGCCTGCCCTCGCCTCCCTCGCTGCACCACCACAGCCCCCCGCAGAGACGACCCCCCATGGTCACGCCCAGCATCCACACCACCGCAAGCTCCACCCCCACCAGCATCATCAAGGTGTCGGCGCTTTGACCTCCTCCACAAGAAACTAACTTAAAGATCGGAGCGTGACACTGCTTCTGTTATCGTGCGACGTTTCAAGATGAGGACGGATTTGGAGAAGAGCTTAAGCTGTTTTCAGACTGGATCCGTCTGCAAGAAATCATCACTGCAAAACGGATAAAATACAAAGAAATCCAAGTATTTTTTTGACTGCCTTAAAGCTGGAGTATCCAACTTAAAAATCACAGCAAATAGAACTATGTACACTGCAAAAAATTCTGAATTATGAGGTAATAATGGTAATTTTTGAAGACATTCTGACTGCGTTAAATCAAGATTCACTGATGGAACAAAGCCATTTAGTCTCATTTTAAAAACTTTTACTTTAGTTTCTTATTCCATGGAGGAAATTTCTTGTATCTTTTTAAAACAAGATAATTTTGCTTCGTCCTATTGGAGAATTTTATTTTAAGGCCTAGTCACAATGTGCTCAAATTTAAATAAATTTAGCCAAACTTTTGCAATGTTTTAGCAAAGCTTCACTTTCAGAGTCATTTATTTGCCATTTTGCAGTAAAACCACATTGGAAAAACTGTGCAAGAATACCCCAGTGTGCACCAGACAGAGAACGGCACACACCAGAGCTCTTGCCACGGCGCCATCTTTCTCGGCGCCATCTTTCTCGGCGCCATCTTTCTCGGCGCCATGTGACAAACAGTAGAATGAACAGCAAAGAGACTCGGGTGAGACACGGACATTTTTCTTCAGGATATAAATTCAGACAGCCCTGCCCAATGTGGCGGCCTGAGGGGACTGGGTAAGGGGGAGAGGGTGAGCCAGACAGGAGTAAGAACGAGGGAGGGAGTGAAGAGGGAGGTCGGGGGGGGGGGGTACAAGTATATCTTCTCTGTCTGGTGCACACTGGGGGAGCCTTGCACAGTTTTTCCAATATGGTTTTACTGCAAATGGCAAATAAATTCTTGAATCTTGAAAGAGAGGACCACCCTCCCCCAACCAATCAGCTCTCACACTGCTCCTTCTTACAATTTTCTATATAAGATCCATGGGTTTTAAAGAAGGATTTTCTACTTCCGGGTGGATTATCTCGACCAGGCATGTCCAAACTCAGGCCTGGGGGCCAATTGCGGTCCTCAGTGTCAGTATATGTGGCCCTCTGCCTCGATAAACCAAAATAGTACAAGTTCATCGTGTCATTCATGCAACTTCAGCTCAGCCGATATAGACATGTCATGACTCGTTCTAAGCTCAGTACGTCTGGTTTTCAGGCGTTGACTTGTTAGCTGGTGAGATGGTAAACATGTGTCATTCAGCCAACTCCAGCTCTGTTATAGATAGAAGCTAAGAACAGCCCGATGCCAGCCAAGTTTTTCAGTCCATGATGGCGGCCCCTGGACTGGTCCGGTGAACTAAAGTGGCCCTCTAACTCAAATGTTTGGACACCCCTGATCTAGACTACTGGTCCTGCTAATTGTCAATCATTCTGGTCATCCGTGCTTGTCAAATCAGAGCAGAGAGGGTGGTTCTTTCCTAAAATGTAAGAAAATCCTCCTGTAAATCCTTAAAGATACAGTTAGCGATGTTGTTAGCTTAGCCATAGCACCAACTGGAAACCCCCCCTCCCCTCCCCTCCCTCTCCACCAAACCAAACATCCAGCATTTTCTTTTCTCTGTCACAGGGAGAGTGGAGCAAACGTGAAATTGGCATTTTCTGTTCAGACATTTTAGGTTTTAGAAAATCCGATAACTCCGGTGCACTCGCAAGAAACAGGAAGAGGGTGAAGGCGGTAAACACATCCCATTGGTCACTGACTGCATCTTTAAGAAAAACATGTTTGCTTGTTCCATTGACAAATTCAGTTTTATAAAAGACAGTCAAAAAAAAAAAGTTTCAAACGACTTAATTCAAGCATTCAAACAAGTATTTGGTTTCATATTTTTGCAGTGAACAATCTCGCTTTGGAAACAGAATTAGAGACACTTTGTGGTGGAAGAGGAAGCCGCTCTGTTCACGCTCAAAGCCATGGCATTCTTTCATTCACGGTGGGAAAATATTTATGTTTTAATTTGTGGAAATGATTTGAGTTTTTTGTGCTGTCCTTTTCTGTGACAATGTCAGACCGTGAGGAGTTGTTGGAAAGACGTGGAGCAGGTGTCATTTGTGAATCCAAAATCAAGACACAGACAAACCCACGTGTGTTGGTGTGTAAATGTAGAATGTGTTTGACTTTAAAGTGGGAGTGCCTAACTTTTAAACCACAAAACACAATGGAACTGGAAAAAAAATAAGGCAGGTTGTAGTTTGGCGAAGAATGTGATAGTAAAGTATTCCGGTCTGGTTCTATCAAGAAATTGAAGCAGGAGCAAGAGGAATGTTTAGCAAATGTAATCGCTGGTCAAGATTGTGGCGCTACTCCCCACACGCTCCATTAGCGGCAAAGGAGATGGCTAAAGCTAGGCTAAATGCTAATGCTAACAACTCACTCGGGCGCATTACAAACGTCACGGTAAACTCAGATCCAATGGTTTCAATCTGCAGAAGGAGTTAACCCCTCCCACCTGTTCACGGGGTCAATGGAGCAAATCCAGACCTTAGTATGAAATGAAATTTGTACTATGGTGTGGTACGACCAGGCTAATGTAGATCCACTTTTCTTTAAAAAGTGAAAAAGCAGAAACAATGTATTTAAAGAGTTCATTTGCAAAAACAGATACCTCCCATTTGGAATTTTGTCCAAATATTGTCTTCCTCCAGTTATAAAATTCATCATGTTCAGTTAGAGGCAGTACAAGAAGAAGACATTTGCACAAGAAGGGAAAAGGTTTATTTGCATGGCACTAAAATAGATCTGGCTTTTCACAAAACTCCTTGGTAAAGAGAAAATTGTAAGTTTGATAAGTAAGATTGGATGTTTCCACGGCACTTATCTGTTTTTGCAAACTATTCATATATATATTTGAAAATCTTACAATTTTGAAAAATGAAAACAATAAGATTTAGGGGCTGGAATATTAATATTGAAATTCAAATATGTCTGAACTACTGTTATTAGTTAAAGAAGTATTGGAAAAGAGCAGTTTATTATTATGACAGATTAGGGCCCTTTAATGATGACAGATTAGGGCCCTTTAATGATGACAGATTAGGGCCCTTTAATGATGACAGATAAGGGCCCTTTAATGATGACAGATTAGGGCCCTTTAATGATGACAGATAAGGGCCCTTTAATGATGACAGATTAGGGCCCTTTAATGATGACAGATTAGGGCCCTTTAATGATGACAGATTAGGGCCTTTTAATGATGAAGATAGCGAGTTTAGAGATTAAGATGAAGAGATCCTCTATTCGTCCCACAGTTGGTAAATTTCAGTGTTGCATCACACGTTACAGAACAGTAGAAGGAGGAGCACACAGCACATTATCAATGAATAATCGCCATACTAATTAGAATGAAGAATTGCGGTCTGGTTTGTTCACAAACGATGACAAAGTGGGACAAATGACATGTATTATTATGAGGGGAAAGTAAGGTACTCCAACTTTAAACAACTGTAGCCATCTTAATCTAAAACTGACCTAGAAATGGATAAATAGTTGTTTCTGGATGAGCATCAGATTTATAGAATCGTGAGCCAAAGTGATAGTGATGAATTTGTACCAATGCCAGAATGGACCAAAGCCAAGCCTTGAAACAATATCTTTTATCACAGACTAAAAACAATCTCATAAAACACATATATTTGGAAGAAGTATTCCAATTTGATCATTTTGTTAGTTGGAACTTCTGGAAACACAGGCATCTTTCATAACGTAGTGTCTGTATATGGATCGAAGGGGAAACAGTACCCTTACATGGTCACTAGGTGGCAGCATTCTCCCATGACTGACCCGAGCATCTGTGTCAGGCTATTTGAATGGCTTTGTTAAAAAAAAACTAAAAGAAACAACTGATTTTGTTGAGTCTAATCAGTGTTTTATTATTTAACGGTGTGAAGTTGTCCGTGCTGTGCTGTGTTACTGTGTTCCTGTATTTTGCCTCGTTTCAGGAGATGTTTTGTGCCAAACGTTGTCTTCACATTTTGAGGGTCGTTTTTACGCTGCTATGAAAAATCCCTTTAGAAAATCTCTTCGCTGTTACAGATTTTTTTTTTTTTTTTCAAAGAGAGATTAATGTGATTTTTACTGGACTGGTGAGCAGACACTTTCTCTCGTCATGCTACTGTTTTCTATAAGTGAGTATGGACGTGGGCCACTGCACTAGGACCACGTGACCAGTGGGTTGGGGTCCGGGGGGCCGTGGGTGAACTTTTTGAATCAGATCAAGCCTTTTGTCTGTTGTGTCGGTTTGTTGGACATACTGTAAAACAAGTGTCAGGTGAAGCCAATAAAACATCTGATACAAAAGAATTGTGGTGGCGTGGTTTGTTTGTTGATAGGGTGAGGAGCTCGGAGTAGAGCCGCTGCTTGTGTGTGGATAGGGATGTCTGAGCGTCTCTGCTGCCCCCGCGACCCGGCAACGGATGAAGCGGAAGAAAATGGAGTGGAATACTAGTACTGCAACAACCAATATTCCTAATGCTAATACTAGTCCTGCTACTACTACTACTACTACAGCGACTACTATCATCACTACCACTGCGACTTTTGCAACTACTACTGCTGTTACTACTACTACTACTACTACTACTAAAACTATTATCTCTACTGCTAATACTACTCCTGCTCCTAATACTACAGCGACTACAATCACCACTACTACTACTACTACTGTTACTACCACTGGGACTACTGCAACTCCTACTGCTCCTACATGTTCTTGCTGCATTTACAGTACATATACACAAGGGGGCAGTACACAACAAGACTGTAATCATGTGAAAAACAGATTTGAAGAGTTAAGTGTGATTCTAAAGTGATTGTGAGAATCTAATCGTGTCCAACGCCTTAAGACTTTCCTCTGTTCACCCACATTTGTATTTAGATCTATGAATCCTCAGAATCAGATTCATC